AAAAATTATCTGTTTTTCAAGTATCTTTATAACTCTGTGTTATTGTACTTACATTATAACCAATCTGGTCCTTTATCCCCACTTAAAATATTTTTACAGAACTATTGTAATATTTGCTGCCATTTCTGCAGTCCTTTTGGCCAACTTACTCTTACAGAAGACATTTTTAATGTTAATGAGATTTTTGTAACTGCATAAGTAAAGGTTATATAAAAGTCACTGCCAAAAACTGATTGTGGCTTCTACCTTGTTACACGAATGTTGTTTGTGGCTCAAGATGACTTTATGTCCTCCATGAGGGATGCATTTGACACGTGTTTCACATGTTATAGCCCAACAAGTTACTTTTAGCAGTTTAAATACGAGCAATCAGTTTTTGGCAAATACCGGAAATCAGTTTTTGGCAGACAATCACTTTTTGGCACAACACCGGTCCATGAAAATATTGTCGGGCATAAACCGGTCCGTGGCGCAAAAAAGGTTGGGGACCGCTGCTCTTAATTGTTGTGACACGTGTTCGAAATGCAGAGAGGTGCGCTCGATTTGCCACACGGAGCAGCGTGAGTAAAGCACGAGGGAGGGGCTAATAATTGGCTCAGTTATTTTTAATGATCGTTGAAAGCCCAGATCGTAATCGTGATTAAAATTCGATTAATTGAGCAGCCCTAGCTAGCCACAACTTCCAATTTTCAAAGGTGGAAAATGTTTGTCGTTTTGTTGCCAAAATTCAAAAATGTGTTTGTTTGATTGTTTTTCCTTGACATAACTGTGCTTTTCTTACTCATTAATTTTACTGATCTACTGGTCCAATTCTCGTCTTTACGCAGCAACAAACTGTCCTTGAGAGTTCAGTCAGACTTGTGCCACATATCAAACACACGGTTACCACTATAAGAGATCCTTTTCATAATATATATTGTCTTCATCATTCTGGTAAGTGATAGCAGTCTGTCAGTCAGACGTGACAAACTTTAACACTAATACAGGCATCATTAATATAATTGCTGGTGTCAATAATTTCAGAGTCTCAGCTGAATGTTCACTGCTTAGAATAGTTTTCATTTGCTCATTTCTTAACTTACTTATTTGCTTTATCACACAAGATCACCAAAACCCAGATTTCCAAATGAACAAGGACTGGAAATCTTAACACCAGTTATCAGCCTTCACATGTATTTTGTAACATGATGGAAAATTCAGATGACGTCGCATTGCAACTACTTTAAACCACTGAAGAATGGAAAGATAGCCTCTGGTATTTTTAAAACTGTTAAAATGATATTTTGTGTAGTATATAAACATACTACATGATACTGCACAGTCCAAAAAGTACAGTGGCACTATTGTGTAGTGATTAAAGATTTGCCTAACACCTGAAAAGTCTGAGTCAAGCCTGGGAGGAGACGCAAATCCCAAAGAGGATTGCGTCATGCAGGACACCTGGTGTAAAAATTGTGTAAAATTCAGTATGAGTACAAAACTTCTTTATGATAAGCATATTGTGTATTTGTGGTAGAATATTCTTTTTATTGATTGATTTCTACTCATTTCCAATAGTATATTTAGCTCATTCAGCCAAAGGACCTGTGAACTTTTCGTTACTCATTAGTCCTCCTATAGAAATGTTCAAATTTACACATAGTGGTCTTTGGGCTTTACCTTACAATATAAAGTGTCTCAAGATAGCATAATTTCCTTAGGGATTATTAAAGTATTCTGATTCTGATTGTGAAGATCAAGGTTACGTTTGTCACTTTACAGGCAATAATCTGAATTGTGAGAAAACTGAGCTGCTGGGTTATTGACATTATGCTCTAGTTTTTGGTACATTAAAAATATGTATATAGAGTATATTCCACTTTGACTTTTATTTAGTACGTTTATGAGATATTTTACTTGAATTAATCATCACTAATTTGCACAGAGATAACTACTTTGGCTTTTTTTAATTCATGTTCTTTTACCGTGCTGTAAATAATGTTTAAACCTGGATTATAACAGCACCATGAGGTATGAACAGTGAAATTTAATGGTGATGTTACATTAAACAGTGGTTTTTGTGTTGGTTATTTGTTAGGTGTTACCATTTTTATTATGTACAATAGTGACAAGGTTTTTGTTTTTGATTTGTTAATCAATTTAAAATTTAAAGTCAAGCCAAGTTTATTTATATCACTCATATCACAACAGACATCAACCGCAGTGCAGCACAACAATCGGTAAAACAATTTAAAAGACAGATTTACATAGCATTAGGAGAACATGCTAAAGAGAAATGGTGAGTCTTCAGTTGAGGTTTGTAAGCTGTTATTGAAGCAGGCAGTCTGACCTGGAAGGGGAGATTGTGCCAGAGTTTCAGAGTTACGTCTTTATACCCCAGTCTGATAGATACTGATACTTGTGTATGACCGATGCAAACATTTACAAGTGAACTAAGGAATTTTATAGTGAACTCTAAACTGCACAGGTGTAACGATGCCAAGGCTGGTGAAATGTGTTCATGTTTTTCTTTACCAGTCAGATAAGGCATCTGGTGTAAAAGATGTCCCAAATCAAACATGTGGAGCTACCCACTTTGGCAATAAGAGAACAGTCAAAAGTAGCTGCTTCAAATTTTCAGACCACAAGTTTTTACCAGACAGATGTGGAGCACCGTCTAGAATTAATTCTTGGCGTCTAGCATTACAATTGCATTAAAATCCACTGATAAAATCCTATGATTTGTGCAGACAGACACTTCTAGTCTCTCTCACTCATACATTCTGAAACTGCACAAATATCAATATAATACATTTTTAGACCAGGACATTTCAGACTGTCTAACGTTTTGCATAAACATCGCTGTGGATTCAATTCTGGGACAGAGTGATGTAAGAAACCACAATATAAAATTAGGCTAATACCCACTGCTCTATTGATTGTTAAAATGCAGATAAATTAACGTGAATGTTTCTCTAAAGAAAAAATTCCATTGAATTTTATTTTGATCTCAATAAAGACAGTTTTGCCGCTCATGATCCAGCAGTGCGTGTATCTATGACTTTTATTTTGACAAAACAGAGACCGGAAGTTGTTGAATTATTGCACAGGGGAAGGACGTGGCATATTTCCGGTACTGGCGGCGGCATATCCAGAGGTAGAGTTGAAGCTGTCTAATGGCTGCGGGTGAGTGTTTTGATCACAAAATTTACACCGAACTGTGAAGCCAGCGGATTTTCTGTGAATGAAAGTCTCCATATGTGAATCCAAACAGTGCGCAGCTTGTCACGTGTGCACATATCAGACATTACTGTCATATTATGCTGTGGCAATCTGCGCTAGCTTCCCCCCTAATATTTAACCAGCTACATGAGAAATGCTGCTTTCAAAAGGAGGAGAGAGCTGATGGAGGCAGCTAAGAAAGCGCTGCAGCAAGTTTTGATCTCTTGTAGTTTATTATTAAAACTGGGAGTTGGTTTGACAGAAGAGGGGCCTGAAAGCTGAAGGCTCTGCTTCTCATTCTGCTTTTAAAAACCCTGGGATCTACAAGTAAACCTGCCGTCCAGTGTTGCCAACTCCTCAGTAAGGAAAATCGCTATTGGCTGTCCTAAAAGTCGCTAGAAGTCGCCAAATGACGTCATCGCCTAATTTGCATAATTGGTCATGCTAATGTCATTGTAACCTACGCTGTTGGAGAGAGAAATAACATCGTAGAAGAGACATAAAGTGAGTAACAAACGTCCTGAATGCAGTTAGAATTTATTTAGAACTACAAATTAAATTTCTTTTAGCAATTATTGTTTTTTTAATGTCACAATTCCAACCCTGCTCCTTTATCCAGGCCTGGACCGGCAAAAGTGACCTGAAATTGGCACTCTGGTGGAGTTACTTTGTGTGTGAGAGTGTGTGTTTATAAGTAGTTTTAAACCTTGTGATCCACAAAACAGCATAACAGTAAAAGAAGAACTGACTGCGTTACAGTCAGTGCGGGAGCAGCGGCTTCGCTCATGCGCGATTCATTTGCCGTTCGGACGCGCTCTGCGGACGCACAGGTGTGAACGTCTCCTGCTCTGATAGCAGCTGGGGAGGACTA